ATACCTGTACGTGAATGTTCATGGTAGTTTATTTGTAATAACTACAAACTGGAGTTAGCCCAGGTGGCCTTTAAACGGTGAATGATTAAACTGTAATACATAATGTGAAGTGTACTATTCAGCCAATAGAAAGGAAGGAAATATTGGTGGTGGGTGTGGTGTGGTGTGGTAACATAGATCTTAAGAGGAAGGGTTTATACCCCAAAATCACATACAGTGTTGTAAACCAATGTTACTCCCATAGAAAACATAATAAAAAAAATCAGAAGTTAAAAAAGGAGCTATTGAGACATGTAATTACTTAGATGAATTCCCCAAAGGTAGCATTCTGTATGATTCCATTTATATAACAGGATAAATGCAGGACATGGATTAGTGATGACTAGGTGTTAGGGGTGATATAAGAGGGATTCCCTGTGGTGTTGGAATTGTCAGGACTTGACTGTGGTGGTGGTGACCTGAAATAATAAATATACACATCCATCAAGGTCAGCAAAATTGGGAAAATCTGAATATCATTGGATTGCATCAATGTCAATCTCCTAGTTGTGATATATTATAGTTTCACAAGCTACACCAAGCAAAGTATATAAGATCTCTTGGTATTATTTCTTACAATTCCATGTGAATCTACAGTTAATCAGAATTGCAATAGGGGCCTCCCCATTGGCGCAGCGGGTTGAGCACAGTGCTGTGGGGCTGTTCGCCTCTGCATTGCGGCCACGATTCCCAGCCGGCCAGGGAGATACCCACATGGCGCGGCAGACCTCTCCTGTCTCATCCCCTGTTGCGCCCCTCAGTAGTGCCTTCGGTCGTCTGCTCGTCTGCTTGTTCTGCTCCCCGCTTTGTCTCTGGTGAATTCTCTCAGCCTCTCGAGCCTCTGGCCTATACCCCAGTTCTTGTATAAATGAATAAAATCTTTAAAAAAAAAAGAATTGCAATAAAACAAACAAGTAATAAAACTTACCAATGATAATCAGTAAGTTTTGCATATTGGTAATATTAAGCTTACATTGTAGTTTAGAGGAAGATTTTAAAAGTTTCTGGGCATAAAAAAATAAACATGCTAATAATCACAATTTTGTACATCTAACTAAAAACAACAACAACTTGATGTTCAGGTAAAAAGCAAAAGCCTGCACCTTATATATAGAAAAAACCTTAAAGGGCTAGTCTGCTCTAGCCACTGGCCTCAGGTGTACCAACTCAGTTATAGAAATGTGTTCCCACAGGCATTTGTCACAGCTACCCACTCCCACCAGAGATCTGCACAACCGCCCAAACAGATTTCCTTATGGTAATAGCGCTAGTAGGTTTGGGGGCAAAAACAAGCTTTCACATTTTGCATGTCCTGGAAAAGGGCATGCACTACCATTTATGGGGTGCCTGCTGCATTAGATAGCTAAACCCACATCTATGATTTAACTCAAATCCACAATTTTATGTAAATAAAATATTTACATTAACTCCATGATTTAATTTAATTTAATTTTTTTAAAGGTAGCTTTATTTATTTATTTATTTTAAAGATTTATTTATTTATTTATACAAGCATTGGGTACAGTCAGAAGCGCGGGAGGGTGAGAGGATTCACCAGAGCTAGAGTGGGGAGCAGAGCAGGCAGAAGGACCGAAGTACACTGCTGAAGGGAGCAGCGGGCGGCAGGAAAGGTCTGCGCGCCATGTGGGACCCTCCTCTGGTGGCCGGGGAGCAGCTGGGAATCGAACCGGCGCTGCAGAGGCTGCGGGCAGCCTCGCAACCCAGCGCTCAACCGCTGCGCCACCGGGGAGGCCCCATGATTTAATTTTAGATTTGGGTAAGAGGCATTATTATCTCCATTTTACCAATGAGCAAAGTGAGACTTGCTTGGGCACCTGCTAGGAATGTGGTGGAGCTAGAACAGTGTGTGGGTCAGTGTGGGCCATAACTGCCCTCTCTTTAGCAATGTGTTGCCTTCAAAATGGACTATTACTTTGCTGGCTCCAAACATGTGTGGTATATCTCCATTGTTATTTGCTGGATCATTTCCTTCAGATTAGGAGTTCTCAATCTAGGGGGTATGGGAATTTATTGAAATAGGTTGCAAACCGTGATGTGTATTTACACATGTGAATTTTCTGGGGCCAGGGTTCACTGTTTCCATCAGATTCTTAAAGAAGTTTAGGATTCAAAAATAAGTTAAGAACTGCCACAGTCACTTCCAAAGAGGGTTCCCCCCCACCCCCCCACCCCCCCACCCCCCACCCCCCCACTGGAAAAATGTTTCAAATGCCAAATAACACTGACTCAGGAAAGTGATACATCTGGGGGAAATAAAATCAGCTGCCAGATCCTATATAGGAAGCAGGGTCAAATTGCTTGTAAAGTCATTGCAAAGAAGATACTTGAAGGGACTCACCAAATTTTATATCTGTCTTGGTGGAATTGTGTGACATTTCCCCTCTGTTTGTTCCAGATGGCTTTAGAAGACAGTCTTTTTTTTGGACAAATTTGATACACAGTGAAAGGATATCCAGGTACACCTTAAGTTTAATATAAGGGCTGACTCATAGCCTTAGCACAAAATAGTGGCTGATGATTTTTAAGTGGCAAATATCTTTCATCATCTTTATTAGCTTTTAATGGAGTAAGGCACAAGAATAGAAGATACAACAGCTATGACGTCCATGTCTATGACTGTAAGTGACTGGCTGCACACAAACTGTAAACCTTGCTGAGTCTGTCATGCCTTTGCATAAGCTGTTCCCTCTGTCTACAATGCCCTTCCCTAACTCTTCGCCCAAAAAACTTGAACACTACCTTTAAGCCCTACATCAAGGTCTCCTGTGACTCCTTTGAAATCTCTCCATTTCTCTCCTTCCCAACACAATGGTCCAGAATCCACGATCTAGCCCTTTGTACACATCTCCATCACTGTTCATTGTCACTTGTTTATGTCTCTTTCATCCAATAGCAAAGTCCCTGAAATCTATAGCTGTGATTTATTTATGTTCCTTGCCCCAAGTTACAATCAAGCGAAGAAAGGGTAGAGATAATCCAGAAAACAAAGCAATTAAGAAATGAAAAGTCTTTAGGTCAGCAACAGATGGGAATCAGAATAGGGGCCAGGACTCAGGTAAGCAGAGAGATGTTTAGTCTGGTTTAGGGAGGAGGCTTATTGGATATAAAATAAAAAGAAGGGGACATCCCTGGTAGTGTAAGGGGTTAAGCACCATACTATGAAGCAATCTGCAGCCTCTGCAGCACCAGTTCGATCTCCAGCTGGCCAGAGAGAAACCCACATGGCTGCGAAGTAGACCTCTCCTTTCTCTCCAGCTGCTCCCCTCAGCAGTGTGTTTCAGTCAGTCTGCCTGCTCTGTTCCCCACTCTGTCTCTGGTGAATCCTCTCTCACCCCTTCCCCCCCATCTCTGGCCTGTACCCCAGCTCTTGTATGCATAAATAAATCTTAAAAAAAAAAAAAGAGGGAGAAATGAAGTGGACTGAAAGAAGAATGGGGATTACTTGGGGGGGGCACTCTGAATGGATTTATTTAGACCCATGTACTCACTCTCCATGACAACCACCTAGAAAGCAAAACAGCTGGATTCTAGAGCTACTGCTCTGTTGTTGAAACACAGCTAGTGTTTTTGGAAACTTGACTAGATCATTGAAACTCTGAGCTGCAAGGGGCCTGAGAAACGATCTTTGCCCATTCTCTTATTTCAAGGATTGAGGATCCAAGAATCTCCTTTAGAAGAGACTTTGCTTTCACTGGGCTAAGCCAGGCACGGTAGACATTCCAAGGGACTCTGGGGACAAGGCTATTCCGAATCCTGATTTCTGGAAGGTCCAAGGCTTCTGGGGGATGGCAAACAAAGGCACTAAAAGAATTAGGTGATTGGTCAAAAACAAGTTCGATAAGCCAACCCAGCCTTTCCTTTCTATTAACATGTTAATAACATATTACTTCCTTTCTGTAACTGGTTAAGAGAGGGGTCGTTTTTCTGGAGAAAGCATGAGCCTTTAACTCTACCTAGCAACTTTGGGAAGAGGGGACAGGTTAGCAGAAGGCAGGGAAACACAGGCTAGGAAGCTTTTTTTTAAAGATTTATTTATTTATACAAGCACTGGGTACAGTCAGAAGCGCGGGAGGGTGAGAGAATTCACCAGAGCCAGAGCGGGGAGCAGAACAGACAGAAGGACCGAAGTACACCGCTGAGGGGAGCAGCGGGCGGCAGGAGAGGTCTGCGCGCCATGTGGGACCCTCGCCCAGTGGCCGGGGATCGAACCAGCGCTGCAAAGGCTGCGGGCAGCTTCACAACCCAGCGCTCAACCGCTGCGCCACCGGGGAGGCCCTAGGAAGCTTTTTTTGTTTGCTTCACCTTATGCAGATTGGATCTTAACAAACCTCCACCGCTCAACTTCATCCCGCTCGCGTCTCCTGGGCCATATATGGCGCTTCCGGCTCTTCCGGCAACTTTGTTTCGGGTCATCGGAGCGCGCGCGTGGCAAAGCCTGCCCAGGGGGCGATTTTGTCTGAGAAGTCGCTCCCTTGAAATTGCACTATCTAAGCTGCTGGCTCAAAAATGAAAAGAAAAGCACACACCAGTATCGTACATATCTGAGGGGTGCTTGGTGCATCCACAGGCCGCGGGTTCAGGACCCCGCTTGAGGCCGTCTCCGGAGCTGGAGCCCCGAGTCAGAGCCCGGGAAAATCAGCTCGCTTCTCTGAAGCTCACGCCCACAACCGCACCTCGGTCCCCTGCCAGAGCGAGCGCGGGGACGCACCCCCGTCTCCCGCCCGACTCCCCGCAACCAACCCCACAACCCTCACAGGCGGCGGGAAGCCCCGCCAGCCGCGCCACAGCGCGCGCGCCCTTAGCCGGCGGGCGACGTCGTCGCGCGGGCGCCCCGCCCCGCCGTGCCCCACGGGCGCGCGCACGCACGCAGGCGCGGGGGCGCACGGTCGGCCGCGCGCAGGGCCGGGCCGGCACGGCGGCGGGGGCGCGCGCGGCTCCGGGAGGCGGCGGCGGCGGCGGAAGCGGCGAGGGTGGCGGGCGTCCGGCTCTGAGGCGGCGGCGGCTGCGGCTGCGGACTGGGCTCTGCTGGGAGCGAGCGAGGGTCGGGGGCGCCGGGTCGAGCGCCGATCCCCGGGCTCGACCGTCCGCCCGCCGCCCGAACGCCTGGGCCGCGGAGTTCGTGTCCCGGCTCGGACCCCGGCGCCCAGCCCGGAGCCGTAACCTTGAGGCGGCGGCGGCGGGGCCGGGCCGGGCCGGGCCGGGGGGCGGCGGCGCTGGATCCGCGGCGGCCCGATCGTTGGCGGGAGATGTCGAACCCCGGGACGCGCAGGAACGGCTCCAGCATCAAGATCCGTCTGACAGGTACGGCGGCGGGGGGCCCACCTCCCCCCGGCGCCCGCCCCGCCGCGCCGCCCCCGGCAGCCCCGGGGCCCCCGCGGCGCCCCCGGCCCGAGGCGCCCTCCCCCGCGCCGGCCGTTGTCCCGGGACCCGGGCACCCCCCTGGGCGAGCGCCCTCGCCGCGCCGGCCCCGCCCCCTCGGCCCGGCCCCGCCCCCTCGCGGCTCTTCCCCAGGCCCCGCCCCCTCGCGCCGGCACCCCCGCCTCGCCGCCCCCGCTTCCCTCCGGGCCGCCCCCGGCCCCCGCCCCGCCCGCGGCCCCCCGGGTCCCGGACCCGCCCCTCACTCCCCCCGGCTCCTCCCCGCCTCGCCCCCCGCTTCTCCCTCGCGCTGCCGCCTCGCGCCCCCCACCCGCCGCCCCCCTTTCCCTCCCCTCGCCTGCCCCCTGCTTTTCCTCCGGCCCCGCCCCTCGCTGTCCCCACCTTCCCGAGCGCTCGCCTCCCCGCCTCCTCCCCACCTGCCCCTCGGGCCCGCCTGCCCTCGCCCCCACCCACTTCTCGCCCCCGCCGCTGCTCCCCCTTTCTCCCCTGCACGCCCCCCGCCCGCGGCCTGCTCGCCCCCGCCCCTCCCCGCGCCCCCTCCGCGCCCCCTCCGCGCCCCTCCCCGCGCCCCCTCCTCACTTTCCGCCGGCCCCGCCCGCGCCTCTCCAGCCCCGCCCCCGGCTCTGGCCGGCGCCGCCACCCTTCCCTGCAGCCCGAATCCCGCGGTCCTGGCTGTGGCTTCTCCGGCCGGTGCCCCGGCTTCCCCGGCCCAGACTCTTCCGTCTCGGGCACTTCCTTCCTCCTCCCGGCCGCCGTCCCCCGCGCTCGCCGCCCGGCCGCGGCCCCTTCCCCGCCCGCGCGGCGGCCGCGTTCTCGGGCTCCCCCTCAGCGAGCCGTCCCTGCATGCCCGTCCTCCCGGGCTCTGTGCCGCCTTCCAGGGCGAGCGCGCGGCCTCTGTGGGCCCGTGACGTGGGGGCTCGGGGGTGCCGCTGTGCGCCCCCCGCGGGCGAGCCGGCCTGGGCCGCTGCTGGCCGGGCCTGCCCCGCCCCTCCCCGGCCCCGCAGTGCTGCCCGCCGGGCCGGCGCGGGCTGCGAATACGGTTCTGCGGGGCGACTTCCCGCGTGTTTTCAGTTCCGGAAAGGAAATCAGTGCCGGCTAATCCCTGTCAAGGGTTTCCCCTGGATTTTTGTTAGGTGGCCTGTGGGCGAGGACTCCAAAGGCAGAGTCCGGTCAGCTCCTTGCAGTCAGAGAAAGAGCATTTTGGACTCTGTGGTAGATGAATAGCTCCAAATCATCGGTAAAGTCCGTGGAGAAACAATGGGTGATTGTTCTCAAACTAAAATTTTTTTGGAAGGTCCATATATTGCCTGATTCAATTTCTTCTCTTCAAGAGGAGGGGTGTGTGTGTGTGTATTAAAGATACCAGATCAGGTTATGGTCAGATTATGTGATCAGATCAGATAACAATTTGGATCCGAAGTCAGACCCTGGTTTTGTAAGTAAGGTGTATCCCAGGGATCTTTGCTCCTGGAGAAATACTATCCTATTTTCCAGGGCTGGTAGGAAACACTTCTCACTATGTAGATATAACATATACATTGTTATTTTTATGGTTACATAAAATCCACATTTTTGACTTTGTAATGCTTGTAAAACTTTAATTCCTGACAACTTTAATTTGGTTCTTATTTACAATGTGATCTGTAATTGACATCAGATTGGTTTCAGCTTTCTTATTAAAAGCAGAAGTAACTGATTTTGTGAGTTTTGGTAGAAATGTGATAGGTGTTTTAGTAGGGATAGGTTTAATTACAGTTTTTGTCAGGTGTTTGTGGGTTACTGAAATCTAGTTGGAGAGTTGGTCAGGGTATTTTCTTGGTGAAAGGAAGGGTTTGGGTTTCCTTCCCAAAATTATTCTGAAATCTAAGAACTTAGATGTTACAGGTGCAGAAGTGCTTTAAAAGGTGTTTGGATTACCTTTGGTAGGGAAGTTGTGGGTAATCAGTATTTTCCTGAAACATCTTTTCCCTTTCCTTCCTTGATGTTATTAATGGTCCGAGAGGATTGGGGTGTGGCCATCCCGTCCCAGGATTTAAAGTTTAGTAGTGATTGCGTGTGCATGTGATGCCACTGTCTGCTGTAACATCAATTTATGTGGGGGGGTCGTTTTCTGCCCCATCTTTAAGGTTGTTGGGGAAGTTGGAAATCCCTTAGCAGCTGTTTCAGAAGTTCTGCGCTTTTTGTTACAGGTTTCAGGAGTTATTTCCATGTGTGGTATTTGTGTTATTTGGAAAAGAAAAAGATTTTTAAAAATGAGGAATATTCTAATTAGTGATTACCACACAGAACATAATTCAATGCAAAGCGTGAAGACATTGGAGTTATAAAATAACGTTTAGAATTTTGGGATCCACAGCTGTGTATGGCGGTGAGTAGAACATTAGATTTGGAAGATACTTGATTCTGGTCATATTCCACCATTCACTGCCTGATATGGGACACATTGTTTAACCTTTTTGCCTCATATATAAGCTGAGCTTTCAACTCCGTTAACAAGTTCTGTTTCTCTTAATGATTTGGCTACCTGCTTATTCCAGATTACGGTTGGGTATTTATACTTTCTGTTAAGTCTCAATTCTGGTATTCAGAAATTTGTGTTAAAATAACACATTTGTGTTTGATTTATGTTAAATATTAATTTTGTGTATTGTTTGCATTTATGATTCCGCCCCTTTGCTGGAACTCTTTATTTTTGGAAAACTGTTGGTTACTATGTTGAACTGCTTGGGAGTATTTGTGTTTTTATTTAAAAGAACATAATTTTAATGAATGTCTTGGTGGTATTTTAGCAAGAAGATAGTTTTTGGATGCTTTCAGTAGTTTTGGGAGCATAATCAAATGATATTTGTTAAAGTGACATTTTAGAGTTCACTTTGGAAACATTTTTATTTTAAATTCATGCAGGACTTGCAAAACCTTTGTTCTTATGTGTTACACAAATGAATCCCAGATACGTGTTTTAGGCCACTTTGGGTAAAAGAATGGAATTTTGAGCTCCCAGAGTTCGATACTGCTCTTTAAGCAAATTAAATTGTATTCTAATGTTAGCCAGTTGATTGAAATACCAAATGTCTAAATTTTTCTACGCTCTGATGCCTTGAGATACTTTCAGACCTCTTATGTCTTTTGGATCATGACTGTATTGTGAAGAGAAAATTTCTAATTCCAAGCAGCGAAAGGGGAAAGAGGCCTTCCTTGAGGAGGCTATTTTTAAAGTTGTAACACATGTGATGTAAGACTGACTTGTGTTTTGGCATCTAGATGATGCTCTTGGGAGAAAATAGTTGGTGTAATAGCTGTTAATAACTTTTAATTGATCAATAATAGGTGACTTAACTGATCAGAAATAAAATTTTTCTTAAGAAAGTTGTAGAAAGCTGTTGAGTGCTGCCTTTGTTGAGTTGTTACCAGCAGAGAATGTCACTTGTGTAAGGCAGGAGTAAGTTTTGTTTTAACAACAGGTAACTTTGATAAGATGGATCCAGTCATCAGTTTTTCGCCACACTCTGCACTGTTTGCTTACCATTTTCCTTAGTGTTGGCCTCAAGTTTAAGAAGGTACAGTCAAGGCGTTAATTTCTTTGAGCTAAATTATCTAAGATCAAGTCCTCCTGCAAGACTTAAACTGCAGTTATACTTTAAGAGGAATCTCATTTTGCCAACTACAGGTTCTATTAATGATTTTATTTCTGGTTTGATCACATTTGTGTTAAGAAAAACCTGTTTTTCGGATCCATTTTTTTCCTTTTTAGTATATTGATCTCCCTGACTATAGAAATGAGACAATTCATATGCCTTACTCCTGTCTTTTTTTACATTTGCTGTGGTTTCTCAGACTAGAACTTTTACTTCAACTCTGTCAGAGTTTAAAACTCCTATTTTTGCAATCATGAAAATGTGTCTGAACTTTGATTCCTCCACCGCCCCCCTCCCCCTTTCCTCATCTACAAAGTTTCATTTTCTCTGGTCACTTTGTCAGATTCCAGTGTGGAACATTGGGTGAAAGGGGAAATTCTGGGTGCTGAGTCACTTGTGAAGAAGTATTTGCTCATGAATAATAATAATAATAATAATAATGAAAAGACAAGAGAGACTGATCCTTATATTTCCACATCAGCTCAATGAGCCAGTTAACTAGACTGGTTGTTTTGTAACACAACTGTGGGCACTGGTTAGAAGTTAAAATAACTGACTCTGCATTTTATTGAGCGGTGAGAGTGAAAGGGAAGTTCTGAAATGGGTGAAATAATATGGTATCTTCCTTAATGCTCTGATTTTCTGCTTGAGAAATCCTAACTGTTAGGATTCTTATTTGGACTAAAGTTTTGTAAATCCAAAACCATTTTAAAGGTTAAACATTTTTTAAATGCAGACTACAAATATGTGCGTGGGGGGGTTATGTGTGTGACTGAGTAACTTTAAGTGACTGGTTTGCTTGTTTTTTTTGGTAAGTGAATCTTACTGAGAAAAAGCCTCTAAATTAAATTGGCTTGTTGTCTGGGGCACTCACACTCCAAGGGACCGAAGTCCCTAAGGCCATTCTTGTTCTGGAAGAGCTAGAGAGCTATGTTTGAAAAACAAAAGCACATAGCTGTGTGGATATCTTTTTTCTAACATGTTAGGATTACTGTTGTATCTACAGATGCAATTTAATCCATTTAGATATTTAAACTAAGTAGAATGTTTTCATATTTCTGGATTAGATGGAAAAGACCCTCTTATTGTTTTAAAACAAGGCTTAAATAATGTACAATCAGTGCATCTGGTGATGCACCCCATGCTGTAATTCCAGCTGTGTTCACCTCCATTGCAGCTGAAAGGAATTCTAATTGGCTGAGGAATGTCAGCAACATCATGTATCACGGAGCTGAACCTATTATGCTGGCTGCTAGGTGATGCATTTCAGATGTTTTAAGCTCCTGACTC